ATCCATGGGATAGAAAATAGGTTATTGTACCAAAGAATTCTACCAGTATTACAACATTTACATTAGTCAGAGACCTAAATATAAATGAACAAAATATACAATAGAGTATACATTGTGTGTCACATTCGTAGGGCTGCCACACACTCTCTGTGGGCTGCCTTTGAATGGTGTTCAGAAACCTCACCTGGTCCATAGTTGACAAGGGACACTAATCTGGCCGGATACTTGACCAGGGACACTAATATGGAGCATATGATGCCCTTGCTATAACAGGTTTTACTGCATACCCAGCTGTTTCCAGGCACAGGCTATCTGAAAGCCTGCCTAGGCACATTTGGTGAGGGCAAAAGAAAGATTCTTCTCATGGCCACTCATACTTTAGAATTTCTTGCTAAGGAATGCGAGATCAGATCCCTCTCTGTTGTCCTTCCACTGGCATGCAAAGACACTTTTATTCAGCCAAGCCTTTGACATGTAAGCTGGTCTTTTTGCTGAACAGGTTTTTCACTCATTGGATATATTTCCTTCTTTTACTGTTGTGTTTTTAATTGTATTTTAAATTATTTGTTTTCATCTGATGTTTTAATTAAGTTTTTGCTTTCATCTTGATGTTATTATTGTTAGCTGCCTCGACTACCATTTTGGATGGAAAGGCAGGATAATAAACACACAACACAAAAAGCAGGGAAGTGCATGTGCTTCCTTTGAAAGTTTCCCAGCAACCTTCATGCACTTGCTTTCATTGACAATTTCCTACCTAACTCTCACAAACAGTGCAAAGAGTATGGGTGGAATTCAAGTGTCTGTTTCTCTTTGGTTCTGGTTCACATAGCAGACTTAAGGTCTGACCTCACTGTTGTATAGTGCAATATTTGCTAAAATAGTAACTATGATCTATCAATATGTTTTAAATTAACAAACCAAGCATACATGGAATGTCTTAACATTATGGCCATCTTAACTGGTAAAACAGTGTTAAATGATCAGATTATAGACTCTTCCTTTAGAACCTAAGCAGTACCAAAGCAGGATTACATCAATGTCTGCTAATCCAGCAGCAGCTAGATGGTGTTAGGTAGTCCTCCACTGCATAATCTACTTTCTACCCTGGCTTATACCACACTTGTTTGTGTTATTCTGCTCCTTTCAGTATTACTATATCTTCATAATCTTGTTTCTTTTTAGGCAATTGAACATAACACCACATGCTGATCCACATCCTAAATCTTTTTTATTCGAAATGCAAATTCACAACTATTGATCACATTTTTTATTCTAGTTTTGTTCTAATCTAGCAGAACATATGGATTAAATTTGTGCAATGGCAAGGAGAAGTGGTCTAAACTTGACCCCAAGAAATCAGGAAGTAAATGGACGGCAGTTCAGATGGCCAACTTGCTTTCATAGAGGAAAAAACTGAAAGAAGACTTACCCCAACCAAAAAGCTACTTGCCTATATAATAGGTACAGAAAAGATGTGTCAAACTGTATACAGTTATGGCATCAACTAAATATGGACAGGCAGTAGCAACCTTTCTGGTAATACATAGTCTTATTTTCCAGTTGTCTACTAAGAACTGAGTCAAATATAAAGCAATTTATTTCTTTATCAAGAATAAGTAATTAAGTAGAATTAAAGCTGCACAAACTGGGGCAACATATGGCTGCAAATACAATTATGCTTTACCTACTAGCACTTTGGGAAGAATTAAAAAGTGCAACAATCTACACCAAGTAATAAACAATCATTCCTTTTGATTACAAATTGATTTGTTGTAAACCATCCTGAGACGACTGTGAGGGGACAGTATGGAAAAGTTTTAAATAAATAAATACTGTGCCAGTCAGTACAGCCATGAAATGGGGTCATCCAGAAAGAAAATTGGTTTCTGCACATTTGTAAAGAACCCCAGATTTACAAATAAACACAAGTGTTTAAAGGGAGGATGGGGAAAAAACACGGCTAAATACAAGCACTTCCTTCTTGCTTCTACCTAACCATTAGGCAGAAGGAATGCAAGGAGAGTGATGCGTAAACCAGATTAAAAAAAAGATAAAAACAGGGAATTTCCAGGCATTTCTAGCCCTTCATGTCTAACTGGATCTGATGCTTTCTTCATTATGCTTTCTTCACTCTTGCTTTAGCCTAAGGCCTAAAAACCTCCCCATATAGTGCTGGGAAGAACTAAAAAAGGGGAGGGGGGAACCTTCTCATTGCTGGGTAGCTAGCATAGTTCACAATTCACATTTCTTTCATACACACACAGATACACATGCACGATACAATTCCTTGCAAACACCTAACATGTATAAAATATTTGAAACTTGAAAATTAAAGCTTAATGATGCACTAATTTTAACCAACAGGATTGTAAGGTAAGGACACTCTTGTTTATTTTCGACAGTATCTTGGTTTTGATGAGTTATAGTTCATGACAACTTGTGAAAGAAAAACAAGATATTTAATATGGGCTTTCCTTCAGCAAGCGGTAGCTTGATTGTGTTACACTGTATATAACTTTATATTCCTACCACTTTCTCAAAAAAAGTACCCATATGAAAGAAATGAAGAAATAGAAACTATTTCATTCTCTTTCATGTGTCTTGTTTCTTGCAATGCAAGGTAACTGTAAAATGTGTGTGTGCTTTCACAGTTTCCTCTAATAAATCCAGGGCTCTTTCTTCCTCACTGAAAAACATGCAAAATGTGTTTTAGCTCCCTGGACTCCCTATTTGCTTGCCTTGGCACAGTAGCTTACAAAACTGAAATAACTGTACAACTGATTGCTATTCTCTGCCATGGAGACCATTTAATATAAATGACTACTCTGGATTTCAACTAAGTTCAGTTTAATCAACATTTGCCCCCATTATCATCATCCATTCTTGATTACCCTCCTGTCATCTGTCTCAGTTTTACTGGGCATACCACATTTTTGAAATGACCTTTGGCTTTGAGCAAATCATGAACAAGGCGAAAGACAAAGCACAACTTCCTGATTATATAATACAAAGGAGTGAAAGTCCTGCTATAAGCTGGCTGCATACATAACTATAGCACAATCATTTTATTAGAACAAAGAAAGATGTAAAGCAACTCATATGCTGTCCTCAGGATATTTCCACCTATTCAGTGAGAAATACTCCCCAAAACATGCATATTTTCCATTGAACCAACCACAGAATAAGACAGAATCATGCTTCTTTAGGCATTGGGAATTCTAATGCGTCCCCCCCCCCCCCCGCACCATGTCCCAGAAGATTGGGGACCACTGCCTGATGGTACTAAGATGGTACTCATAAACACATAGGAAAAGTCCTGCTATATCAGACCTAAAGTGTAACCTGATGTCTAAAATAAATAAATCTCTTTTTCATCTGGCTACTTGAAGCCTTTCCCTTTGCACTGAGAAGATGTTCCTGTGGAAAATAATTTAACAGGGCAAGGGAAATAGCAATGCAATTTTTAAAACACCATACTCATGCAACTTTTAATAGACTTGTAAGGAAACTGTAAAAGTTGTATTAACTACAATGTACATTTATCTTCTGTGCTAATCTTCACATACACATGTTGCTTCCAGATGAAGCTTTTATTGTGCAATCATGGACTTTATTATTACATTGCATTTATATCCTGCCTTTTTTCACTCTTGTGAAATCCCAAGGTGGCTTATATAGCTTCACTTTATCCTCACAACAATCCAGTAAGGTAGGTTGGGCTGAGAGTTTGTAACCAGCCCAAAATTACTCAGTGAGTTTAAGGGCCAAGTGGGGACTAGAACCTGGATCTCCTAGGTCTCCAGTCCAATACTCTAACCACCACATGGTGCTGCATCTCCTGTGCAGGGGGTCCTTATAATTCCTGCCTATTTTCCCATTTTTTCTTCCATTGAGGAAGGAAAGACTGAATAAGAGCATGTTGCTTTTGGGGTTGGTGGCTCTAGGAACTGTCAGTGTGGAGAGCCCCTAGGCTCAGAGATACATTTATGCATCTGGTTTATCAGGAATCTCCCTCTTTGCCACTGAGCCTGCTGAGTACATGCAAGAGTTGCCAGCTGTGAGGCACCAGATGGCCACGTTTACAGCCATGGATGGCTTCTAATGACAAAAGGGCACAAAGTATGTGCAACTTTCAGGGAAGACGTCTAGAGGTCATCTGTGCTTGATGACTGTCGCAAACACAACCAAGAGTCTTGTGGCACCTTAAAGACTAAGAAATGTATGCACCTCATGAAGTGGGCTCTGGTCCAGAAAAGTTTCTGGCCAAATAAACGTACTGGTCTTGACAATGCCACAGGACTCTTGGTTGCTTTCCTTGAGAAATAGAAGCTGAATATATAGGCGACAGCAGAGGTTATACGGGCAAGTGCGTGGGTACATTTTTAAAAAGGGCACCACTGCAGGCATGCTTTGACAGAAGGCATAGTGCAACTCTCCGCATTCCCGACCCAGAGCTCTGGGGCTGCTTTCTGTCTAAACATGCTCAGGACTGCGCCCTAGGTGTGTGCTATGTAGGATAAATGACAAAAACCACGACAAAGAGTACGGGAAGCATTTGATGATCGCGGGGGAACCTACATGTTGCTGTAGCAAGGTGGGGGCGATGTCGGATCGGAGCCACTACTTGCCAAGAAATCAAATCGTTGGGTAAAACTCCACTTCCCTTTCGGGGAGCGCCAAACAGAAGCACAGCCCCGCCAGCCAGCGCACAGGCAGTCCTAAGCTTCGATCCAGATCTCCATATTGGATTTCCAGCCCAGCGGTCGGCACAGCATGCTCACTCGGAGGTGGGCATCCCGTTTTGTGAGGGGACCCTGACTCCCAGGTAAGCCGTCTGCACGCCGGTCAGCCCGAAAGCTGAGCAGCCGCTAGAGGGGCAGCGGCGCAGTGAAAGGGCAGCCGAAGGGCGAGCGGCGCGATCGCGGCTGGGAAGGGCGCTGCGGGCGGGGTGGGCACGTCTCCCCCACACGCCCCGGAGCCGGCCTCTTGTCACTCACCCAGAGAATGAGGCTGTCGCACAGCAGCTGGTCGTTCGGCTTCTCTTCCATGGCGACGGCGGCGACTCCCCCTCCCTGGGTCGCAGCAGCAGCAACAGAAGCGCCGCCGCCGCCGCGCTTTTGCGGAACGCACAATGCACCAACCTCACTTACGCCCAGAACAATGCGCAGGTTACGTGTCGGCCGTCGCTTGTGTCACCTTACACATTGACACCCATCTGTCCCGTCCCGGAGGGCCCTTTTCGGTGTTTGACGCGGGAGCCCGCCAATCACGAGCGAGGGAAACCTACTCGGCGGGGTCGACGAGAGCGCGTCACAAGGCGCTCCGCCCAATCAAACAGGTTTGCGAGGCGCTGAAGCGGGGAGAGCATAACAGGGTTGCCATGGCGCCACCTGGAGGAAGCGCGCGGTACTGCTGGCCCCGCCGTGGCGTCCTCGCCTTTGATCTGGCTGGGAGCCGGTGCGCGCTCGCCCTTCCCGCCATCTCTCAGTTCCCCATCCCGACTGCCAATCTCGGCGTGACTGTCGCCCTTCGCAGGCCTTCTTTCGGTATGCGTCGCCAGGACCTGACCTGCACGCACGCACGCGCGCACGCACGCGAGATTGTATTCCGCACACGCCTCCAGCGTCGTCTTCTGTCGCTGGCTTGAATAATTAGTTGCACTGGCAGCACCTTAACGTTGAAGAACGGAGAATAGATACTTGCAAGCAAACAAACGAATGTTGGACTGGAGAAAATGGGTGGCCATGCCTCACCTCAAGTGGAGGACGCACAGGGTATGCACCACTGGAAAGCAGCTGTTAGTCCACGAACAAAGCAGGCAAGTAGGGCAGTGCCAACTGGAAGGCAAGCCGACTTCCAGCATCCTGTATCAGAACTCCTCAGGTTGAAGGTTCAGCTGGGAACAAATAAGGATGGTGAAGAGAGAGGAGCGTGCTGTGCTTTTTCATCTTGCGTGCGGCATCCTCTATTTCTTCTTCCGTCTGAAAAGGAGTTGATGGATTAGCATGCTTGCTTATTTATTTACATTAAGCACACACATACACACAAACGCCCCCGAGTTAAAACGTCCTCTAGGCAACTTACAACAAAATAAGCTCGTTACAGTTTAAAAATGCGATCAAAGTAGCCAGTAAAAACACAATAGAACGCAATAAAATCAAATGGAGATCAAAGAAGACAAGAACTGAATCAATTAAAAACAGAGATAAAGAGAAACAATCCACAGTACTAAGCAACATTAAAGATACAGCATTATTTAAAAAGGCTGGGAATTTTGCCTAACACTAGTAAACCATGGGAGTTCAGACCAGGTAAGTCTCTCTGGAAAGCCAGGGCTACTATCAAGCAAAGCATTTCTTTCTTAGCATCTTGTGACAGTAAGTGGGGCACCAGCAAAATAATCTCCACTGAAACTCCCAGGTTTTGCAGAGGTACATGTGCTTGCTGATGTAGCTGCTAAGCACACAGGTAACATTTTAGTTGTTTTGGTAAATGACAATATGTTGAACAAATCTAGCAGAAATAATGGTGTTTCTTCTGACATTTCTCCATTCCTTGTTTTCTGAATTTTGCTCAGAACAAAAATGGAGGAATACTGTTAAGGAATATAATTGAGATATTCTTTCAAACAGAAAACTTACAGCTTAAGTAGAAAATTGAGGAGTTAACTTTCAGAGTTTTTTTGCAGACAATTCCAGATTATTTAAAAAAGTTAAACTCTGAAGCAAAACAGATACCTGATCTGTCCTCATCATCCTTGGTCTCTTTTTTATATTTCTGTTCCTGAGAAGTGAGCAGGTTAAACTTTATTAGTTTGCAAGAACTCTTGGACTGCAATCCTACTTACCTGGGAGTACATCCCATTTGAACTCCATGGAGCTTACTTCTGAGTGGACATGCATAGAATTATCTTGTTATGGCACTATTCTATGCATACTTATCCAGAAAAGGTCCCCTTGAGTTTAATGACATGTAGTTCTAGGTGGCTTTGCAAAGCATCCCAGCTAAAACCTCTGCTTTTCACTACCCCTGCCGCATGCTCAGCTAGAATTTCCTATCAGCTCAGAAGCAAAGTTCATCTCAATTAATTTCCCCGCATCAACACAAGGATCCCACTGTCTCATTTTATTCAGCTGCTGACTTGTTTCAGTTACACTCACACGGAATGGCTGATCTGGGGCATCCTAGGTACAGTCTCTGTGCGCGTGTTATGGTCTAGATGCCAGCTGATTTCAAAAGGAGCTGTGTATGCACCTCTAAAACTAGGTCATATCTATCTGGAAGCAGAAGCCACTTTCAACCTTCAAATTCAACATTGTTGACAGCACTCACAAATGGATACTTTTGGTCTACTTTTGTTGAAGTTTATGTATAATTTTTATAATATAAAGTTGTACTTTCCTATAGACCATCACATTTCAGAATTATCATTTGAAACTATTACATTTGTATTTATGTGAATGTAGCTTTTATGTGGCTATTTTTATCTCTTATGTTTTCTTTTGTTTTCCTTTTTGTCATGGTTTTGTTGAAATTTACAATTAAAAAGAAGAAATGGTTGACATGTGATTGACATTAATTTCAAGTATACCACTTTTCTAAGTGTAGGGTTTCCTGTAGAGACAGGAGCCCAGATTAACCAAGGTTCCCATCTCTACAGACTGCCAGAGTGGGCGACCTGTGGCCATCACAACAACTCTCATCAGCCCTAGCCAGCAAAATGATGATGAGGCATCATGGGAGGAGATACAAGTCAGAACATCTGAAGGGTCACCATGTCCCCACCTGCTGCACACAGAAGTGCATCACTTCTAAACTGTAACATAAATAATGCACTGCTCTACAGGGCTGTGGTAACCCACTGAATGGCAGGGTAATTTCTGACTGCTTGCAGTTGTTTTAAAGAAAAAAATCCCACACAAAATGAGATCAAGGTTAGAAAGAGCAGGAACTTCTATATTTGATGCTACCTTTTTGTTTCCAGATTTGTTTTTAAAATCCTGAATATCAGCATTGTTTTCATTGGCAACATGAAAGATCAGGCTGAGAATCCTGCTAATAGTTAGAAGAATGATCATTGATACAATGAGAAACACAGAAGAGGTGATTGTTTATACAGCTTACCTCATACTAGCGACACTGCATGCTTGATCATATAAAGTGGTTATTTTTATAGTGAAGATGGTCAAAATATAAATGACAGGACTATCCAATTTCTGTTCAAATATAGTCTCTGCATGCTGAATGTCCCTGCCCCAAATCCTGATTGAGAGCAACTGATTCTGTTGAGTTTGTAAGGGCACAGTCCTGTGCATGTGTAGATTGAAAAGTTGTACATGAGGGTTGTTGGGCATTAGGGGACTTTTTCTGTCTAAACATGATCCCGGGCATTTGAATTGGCAGGAATAAAGAAGTTATTGGTCCATTCCACACTCCACCCCTGCTTCCTGCCTATAGTCCAGAAGGTGGCTTGCTTGGCCATTATTTAATCCTCTGAAACATGTTTAGATTTATGATCACACTGGTAATAAATATGAGGAATAGTAGAGATCTTAGAAGTAGCTGGGGAAAAACTGAGCTATTTCAGTTACGTCACTGCATTTATGGCAAGGGGAATGGTGGGTGTGTCAAGCCACTTTTGAGAAACTAATGTAAGCAATTAATGAGGCATTCTTCAGGTATTTAGTGTGTAGTTTCTTCTATCCTGCTGAACAGCAAAATGAATGCTGTTAATTCAAGGCCAAACTACATGCGATGTTGAACTTGATGTGTGAATCTTAAACTATAAATAGCAGCCACTAGCTGGCAGATCATTATCATGATTAAATTAATCCTTTCTTCCTGTGCTACAGTCCCAATGAAAATGAGTCCTTGGATGGACTCTCCCACTGGTAGCAACCAGTCAACAAGGTTTTTGCCTCTGATGCAGATCACAGTTATTGCTCTCAAAATGCAGCAGCTAAGAACAGGCAAGGGCTAATCGCCATATATCTTACCTGCTACGAGTAAGTCAAATGGCTGTGCTGGCAGATCCTATGCCTTTATTCATGTGAATCCTTTTAATTACGTTCCATGGCATGTCCACTCATCTAAATGTTCATAGGCCTGCAGTTTTAATGCATTTTACACGTGTTTTCATAGGCATGCTTCTATTTTTTTTCTTCCATTGCACCTTTGTTTTGAAGCATGTTTAGGAACTGATTTTAGCTCTTTAGGTGGTTTTCTTGGGCAGCCTGCAGTAAACTGGATGAATCTGTGCATTTGTGGAGTCAACAAATCCTTCTGAAGCTCTGCTGGAAAAACCTCAGGGGCAAGCCATTGTTTCAACATATATAGTTATAAAAACAACTTACCAGAAAAATATATGATATGGTGAAACTTGATGGGGCATATGAAGGATATGCAATGCAAAGAACAAAATGTACATCATCTGCCTGCTTCCATTTAGAAATACCAAGTTCTGGTAATTAATTTTAGCATATATAAAATAGAATAGACAAGTCAAGAGGAGCTTGGAAACCTCTCAACCCTCTTTTATTCCCAACGTCCCCTTTTATTCTCCTCACTCCTGTTTCTTTCCCCTTTTTCCTAGTGGTAAGCACCACTGTGTTGCTGGATAGTAGACAACATCACTTCCTTACAGGCTGCCATCAATTCTGTTCCAAGAGAGTGTCAGTTTGTTGGGCCCCAAGGGTGGCACCATCTGTTCACTCCTTCTTCAGCCTCCAGCAAGTGAGAATGTTTTGTGAGGGGAGCTTGGTGAGCAGATGAACTGAACTGCTCCTGTTGAACTCGCTTCACCTCTCCACATGGTAGTATCTGGCAAAGCAGCCAAGTCACAGCAGGTAGTTGTATAATTACTGTTTGTATACTATCAAAAGTAGTACAGTACAGCAGACAGAATTCATGGTTTCAATTTCCCTTTCTCTTTTCTTTCACAGTAACTTAGATGCTTTTAAAAAGATTTCCTTCCTTGAACTATTCTGGGACAGAGCTGAGCTAGTATAGGGAGTGGGCAGAGCATCAAACCTGGGCTCAAATTTCCACTGGTGGCTTTTTTTACCATTGTTGATCTGTCATGTCACCCAAATGCCATCATAGTATTTTAGTGTGGTACATTTGGTCTTTAGAAACTATGAATAGAAACAATAGTCTGTACTACAAT